TTTTCGAGACCGAATGTTCTCCTCAAAAGATCTTTCTGGAATATTCGAGAATATTCTAGGCGGAAAGGGGGAGAAAGGCGAGTGGGTGGCGCGGCCCGCTCGCGAACCGCTGCCAACAGGAAGGGAGGAGGGGGAAGGCCGCGAACACGTCGAAAAGGGGAGGAGGATTGATGAAACGGTCAATTATATCGATATTATGTTAAAAAAATATGTGGAAAGATATGTCGGTAAAAACAGATCGCAGGGTCAATAAAAATTACCAATTATGTCGGTAATAATATGTCGGTAATAATATGTCGGTAAAAAAAAATATGTTGGTAAATATAAATATGTTGGTAAAAATATATATACGTTGGTAAAAAATAAATATGTTGGTAAAAATACCGGTAATATGTCGGTAAAAAAGAAATGTCGGTAAGCCCCCTCTCCTGCGTGACGTCGCCCCCGCGCCCGCAGTTCCCCTCGCCCCGCACCTCCCCTCAGAGGACCAGGGTTTAGAACCCCCCTTATTCACCTACTTATCTTCGTCCCAAAATACGAGGTGTACAACGCGGTTGCGATACACTGTAAAACATAAATAATTTAACGCGGTTGCAATACACAGTTAAAAATAAATCATAAGAATACAAGAAACTAATTATTGAGATTTACCTTTTTTTCTCGTACGGCGGAGCATTATCTTGCACGGGTACGTAATAGTTCATACGTTTTCCTTCAGCACGGTGCATTCTTCTCAAAATAATATTTGTCCACTAAATGCCTTTGTTGCAAAACGACTGATGCAACGAGCGACCAAGAACCGCTTTAAATACGTTTCAAAATTCCCCCCAGCAACCTAAATCCTTAAAGCGGTGCATAATAATAATAATAATAATATAAATGAGACTCATCTAATTTTCATCTATATCTACTTCTACTGTGCAAATACATTTGATCAAATCATTCAACAAATCTCTGATACAGCGCCGTAGATAGTCAATCGAATACTTATATATCGATTGAATGTTTCGAGCGATACTGCATCATCTAAAAAGTCAATTTCCGATATTTATATCAAAGGTACAGTCCAAAAGTATTCATATAAGATCTCTCTCTCTCTCTCTCTCTCTCTCTCTCTCTCTCTCTCTCTCTCTCTTATGCGTCACAATGTAGCATTTTTGTGCTGACACATCGATTTGCAGTCGACAGTTAGATGCGTAGAAAATGTGAAACAGGATATTATTACAAATGAACACATGTGGTAGTAAGATTCGCAGAAAATGTGAAACAAAATACTATTACGAAGGTCATAGAAGTATACCAGGTATGTAAATATGAAACCGGAACTTTTGTATAGAAAATACACGTTTATTGTATGAAAATGATAAAAAATATTTTATTCGAAGTATTGCCCATCGCTAGCTATGCATTTTTCCCACCTGTCTGACAATTTGTGGATGCCACGCCAAAAAAACTGTTGCTCTTTTGAGGCAAACTAGTCATCGAGCCATTTTCGTAAGAAGTGAAGCGCTGCTTAGCAAGTGCGTGTCCCATCGATGCAAATAAATAGTAATCGGACGAAGCCAAGTCTGGTGAGTAAGCCGCATGCGAAAGTATTTCCCAACTAAACGCCTCAATTGTTTCCTTGACCAGTTTTGCTGTGTGTGATGGTGCATTATCATGAAGCAAAATCACTTTGTGTTGCCTTTTTTTATATTCTGGTCGTTTTTCACGCAAAGCTTGATTCAAATCGATTATTTGTTGTCGGTGTTTCAGTATTAACGGTTTGGCCAGGTTTTAGCAGTTCATAATAGATCATACTCTTCTGGTCCCACCAAACACAGAGCATTGTCTTCCGTCCATAACGATTTGGCCTTGCAATCGATGTCGATGGTTCGCCTGGAGTTACCCATGAT